GCGAAACCATTGATCATATTTGCCCATAGACCTACATCGGTGAAAACCACATAAATTTGTGTGTTTTTTCTATTTCTTATTTTTTAAGTCAATTTTACTTTGTTTGTCATTTTGTTAGATTTTTAGGTTTTTATCGGCCAGTCTTGTCAGCTTCAAGTGAAATGCTCTTAAAGGGCAACATGAAGGCACAAAATGATATACGGATGGAAGTAGTGAGCAAAGATATGGTGATGGTATAGTCTAACTAAAGATATAGCCCTTGTTAGTGCGGAATGACGGAACATGATTTATGTAACCAGCCCTAAATAGTTAGAATAAGGTGTGGATGATGATAATGACGATTGACCAGCCTAGTTAGCATTTTTTTTATAAGGAGATGCTACGATATGTTACATGCCCGATGACGAAAAAATAATAAAGGGTATGTGGTTGCGACTAGAAAACAGTATGTTCTGTTGTTGGGCGACCCGCCTAGCAGAGCTTGTAGTAGCCAAGTCTTATCAAAGCCCTCGTTGAAGAGTTTGTTGTTGCTAAGCAAAAGCTAGGAGGGCAAGCCAATTTCTTTTGGAAAAAGTTTATATAAAAGCGAGGATCTAAACAATCAAATTAAGGCATAACTCAAAAAAGTTTAGAAAATGTTGTTTCGATACTAAAAAATCCTAAAATTCGATCATTTTACCTCAAGATGTATATATACGAGAAAAAATAAATTTCAAGTCTTGCATCCTGTAATATATATCTAGACCATTAATTTTCAAGATTTTCATAAATCTACTCGATCTACACTATTTTTTAACTTTAATTTTATAATTAGCGATGAAAATAATTTTTCACACCATCATAAAGCTGTTTTATAATGGAATAACATATTTTGGCAATATTTGAAGGTGTTCCCTACTTTGATTGATTAGAGCCTCGACTTTATACAAACGACACCCATTTTTTTTTACCATATGACATCCGCACTTGTAGATACTTCCGCAGGAGCATAGTCTATATTTTGTGGTGATTTTTGTAGTGGGACTGTTGCAATTTGTTTGGTTATGGTTACTTATCGTGGACATCATAGTGATTGTTGACAAATGACTGTTACTACCCAACCCAAAAATGTTATAATAAGCATTGCATTTTAGTTCATTTTTTATGGTACGAATTGGTTGGGAAAGCTTGGACTTGAAGTGAATAATAAAAAGATAGGCTGAAAGGTTACATACCCTCCTCATGCAAGAGTATTCCTAAGATCCCCAAATTTCATGAATATAATCTCAGTGATTTTTTTTTTTTTTTTAAATATACATTCTATGTGTGCCTAACATAAAATCGTTTTCTAGATTATATAGAGACTTGGAAGGTAAAAAATTTGAGTCTTCAAAAACTGAAAAACCCATATTTTTATTTTTATATAAAATTTTTAGATCAATAAAATACTTGTAGATAGGTATTTAACATGAGGGAACAAGTGTAAAGTGTGATCTCGGGGCAGCACGGTCTACATGTTGGAAAAGAACCATTTTCATCAATCCTCTTATTTGTTTGTTTATTTATTAGTTTGAGCCTAGGCAATGGCACACAACTATTCAATATCATATCTAATGGCTAGAAGTAATGAGACCTCCTCCTATAAAACAATAAATGTATACTTTCAAACTATTTTATGCCATATTCTAAGTACAATGCATTTTGACTCGCTTATCATGTTAATATAAAAGTTCTCCAACCAGCTAAATATAAAAAATGATGGGAATCTAGATAATGTGTCACTATTAGATTTAAGACTAATATTCATGATGATATAAATTTAATAACTTTTCAAAAATATATGGAATTCCCTTGTGTAAAACCCTTCTCAAATCCAACATTACACAACACAAATCCAGGTTGTGATTGTGACCTACAAAATTATCTGATTTTGCTGCAAAAGTATTATTCCAAAACAATTTGTTTTTCAAGCAAAATTAATGCTATGAGGGGAAGAGTGGGTCGGCCCGGTCCCCGCATTAGTATTGATATAAAGGATTTGGTACAAGCGAGCGATGAAGCGAGATTAAATCCTTATCTCGAAGAAAGCCAGTGGCATCCTTTAGGTGCCTTGATGGCTATTGTTACAAACTTAGGTTTCATTGGGAGGCAACAATTGGTCATTCTAATTCATAATTATCACTATACTGACCGGGCGTATTACGGTTTTTGGCTGAGGGGGTGGATCAAAGCGATTGCATACTGATATCTAAAAATTGAGGCCATAAGAGTGTATACTATGCTCCCAAGGGAGCATACTATACACTTGCTCCATCGAACCTTTGTTGTTTAATCACATGACATTTGTTATTAAAGGACCTTCCTGGAGCACCAAAAACGTGGGGATATAATAGTCTTTTAGCAAAAATTAGAAACATGATCCCCACACGGTGGTTGTAAGGAAAGGCAACAAGCATCTCATGCCTTTTGCCCATAGTTTTCATGGAAAGACAAAAATCACAATCAAACTTAAAAAGGACAGATATATCTAGAAGTTTACTCTTTTTAATAAGGACCCGCTTTGTATGCGGCCAAGCTCGCATGTGTAGAAATCCAGGCCTCTTAATAAATCTACTTTTTAGATGGATTTTAAAACAATTTTTTAGGACATGTAATCTTTAGTCTCTTAATAAATCTACTTTTTAGATGGATTTTAAGACAATTTTTAAGAACATGTAATCTTTAACATGGAGATCATGGATATGAAAATATAAATAAAATTTTAAAATTATAAATGATAATTCTAATAAGAAAACATTTGGACCATTAGTTTCCATTGTTTTTAGATGGAATACCTACTTGCCTCCATACACTTTCTATACCGTATATGTAGAAATGCGGTCCAGCACCGCATGAAATAATTTTCTTTTTAAAATTTTGGCTGTGAAATTTATCAAATTATGCTCAATAAATCACAACTTAATATTTGAGTGATTCCTTTTGCCCTACTTTTGAAAATGCAATCAACATAATATCGGCTAAAAATATGAAAAAGATATGATTCCTATAGTATTTTCCATAAAAAAAAATAGAGAAATTTATCAAATACCCATTTGAGGTACTTAACATTTTCCTTATCGAAACTATTCAAAGACCATGTATTTTTTTTACGAGTATATTGAAATTAAATCAAAAGACATATGGGTAAAGTTAAATTGTTTTTCCCTAATAGATTTTTTGATTAATTTCCCAAAAAACAAGTGATATTTCGAAAAATTATCTAGCTAAGATGTTGTTATTTTCTACGACAATGTCCTGCCCTAAATTACGTTCTCATGGAATCAAAACACGCAATAGAACCGTCTAGCAAATGCCTTAATAATAATATTTTTATGAGAATCTCGGATCCACTTTAAAATCATCATATGAGTATATTAAACAAATAAAAGTTTTTGATACCTAGATACTTTGAGGGTGTGGTTTGTATAAAGTTGATGCCCTAAATAATCAAATTAAAACGTGCCTTAAAATAGTATCGAAAACTATCGTTTTAGTATAAAAAATCTTTATGATGGATTGAAAATTTATTTTAGTCTCCAATTATGAAATTTTTAGCTTAAAAAATAGTATATATCATGCAGATCTATAAACACTTAAAAATCTTGAGAATTATACTATATTCAAATTTGAAGTCTTTTTTTTTTTTTTATATGTCCATATATCTTAAGGTCAAGATGATCAGATTTGAGGGTTTTTCAACATCAAAACAACTTATTTTACTGATTTTTTTAGGGGCGCCTTAATTTGATTGTCTAAAGCCTCAACCTTATAGAAACTTTTTTCATACTTAAAATGCCATCAAAATATTGAGTAACATATATGTTGTCGTTGGGGGTGATATTTTCATGTAGCCAAGGGGCATTCTTAAAGCTATCTTCTAATTTTTAGTTGATCTCTAGGTTGAATAGGTCACCTTCACAAATCTTTCCAATACAATTGTAAAATTAAACTTTGTCAAGAGACGTAATGTTCACGCAGGAATATAGTGTATATTTACAGGAATATAGTGTCCATTTACTCCCTTGTGTAAAACCCAATCTAGGATCTCGAATTTTGGGGATGGAAGTATGCAACTTATTCAACCCAAAAACTAATTTGAATAGAAATTTTTTTGGAGTTGCACTCTCTATGGGTTAAAAAAAAGAAAGAAAGAAGAATGAATTTTCTCAAGATTGAACAAAGGCCATCCAATTTTTAGAGGGCATTCACCAAAAAATATAAAAATAAAAATTGGAGGTTGAGATCTGAGTGTTGAAATATTCAAAATTCCAATATTTTTTTTTTTTGAAAGTAATCGACTAGTTATTCTTAAGCTATCCACAAAGTTCCAAACTAAAAAAATTATCCTAAGTCGGTTTTCTCACTCAGGCAGGAGCATAGTGTAGATATGGAATCCTGAAAATTTCCCCTCTCAACAATTTATAGTGAAAATTTTCCCTTCCAATAATTTCTAGTCTACCTATCTGCAAGGTTTTTATAAGGTTGCAATATAGAAATAATGTTGCAATACTCTATACCATCTATTTTATTTAGATCGTACAAATGAGACACATCTTTTAAGATAATATCAATACATAACATTTTTTTTAAGATAATGTTCAATCTACATCATCCAAATAAAATAGAAACGGTAGATTACTGCAGTTTTATTTCTACAAACAAGGATGTAGAAATCCTTGTATGGCACCGGAGACTTTAACATCATCCAAACCGTTGGATCTTCATTAGCGAGGGCCGGCGTGTGTGGATTGTGTAAAGTTCACCGAGCGCAGACTAACCCTTGGAAAACAAATGAAAAGAGTTAGCTGATCACGAGCAATGTGCATGGTGTTTTACTGGCGCCGATCGTATATTTATACGGTCCCTAGCTGTATAAATGCCACTGTAGTTTGTGCTCCTGCAGGACTATTTTGGTATTCCCTGTATACACTTTTTATAAGTTCAGTTAATTTCTAGCTTTACAGTACAACTCCTGTGAATTTTTTAAGCCTTATGCCCTTTTCTCCATTTTTCTTCGCTTTATTTAGCCGAAGCTTTTTTTAAATGGCGGATGAGGAGACTGATATAAGGTTGCCTGCGCTTTCTACGGCCATGGCATTTTTCTTGTATCACTGGTTATTGCAAAGAACTAAGCCTTTTTTATGTGAATTTGATCTATGTGAGGTTTCTTTCTTTGTTTTTCCTTTGAATTTTCTTTTATTTAATTGCTGTAGTTGAAGCCTTTTAATGGAGGATTTGGGCTGTGAAAGTAGTGTTTTCGTCTTTCTAATGCGGGGATCTCATTTATTTGCTTCAACTTTCATTTTTGCTAGAGGAAATTTTATGGAGGCTTGAAAATGCAGTTCCTATGAAAGCTTCTGGCTCGGACTTGCTTAATGTGATAGATACAATGACATTGCAACTGATTTTGAAGGTTTTATTTCTGTAATAGATTAGAGTTTTTATGTCCAGGGTTTGTTCTTGCTTTAGATCGTCAATTAGAGATCCGTGATCTTACTATTTCTGGCCTTATTTTTTGAATTTTTGGAGAAAATTCAAGTATGCTAGTGTCATTTTGAAGTTATGTAATGGATTTGTGTTATGAAAATCTCTGGTTTCTTCCTGTTTTTGCTTGTTAACTCGGAGATCTCTCTTATTTTTTTAATCTTATATCCATTTTTGTACTTTTTAAGCAAGCGCATAATTCATATTATTCATTTGAAGCTCTCTATTCGGTGAATTTTTGTTACAAAAATTTCATTTGTACGTTCTCATTTTTCACTTTTGACTGCAGAGATCTCTAATTGCTCCTTAGCAATTATGTTTTCTGAAATTTAAATAATTGCTGGTATTGGAGTTGGAAAGTCTTCTCGTTGGTTGGGAATCCTCCCCCCTCCCCCGGCTTTTCTTTTCCGATTTTTCATTCTTTGAAGTAGTTTTTTCTCCATTTTTTTTACACTTTTTGAGCATTTTTCACTTTTTCAGTAGTTATTAAATTTGTTTGGAAGTTTATTCAGCGGCGTTTGTGTCATAGTAAACGAGGGAACCTCTGATCCTTTCCACTTTCATTTATTTTTAATTTTTTCGAGTAAATACAAAGGAGGATATATGAGAATTTTTTTTTTTCTCTCTCCAACTCTAATCTAAACATTGATTAAGTTTGTTTCATATTGTTCTTATTGATTTATAATATTGAGACAATCAGGGGGGTCGTATTGAAGACATGAGATCTGTAATTCTTTTCGTTCTTTGGACTTTTTTTTTTGTTGGGGGTAATTAAAACTTGGTTTTTGATCTTTAAGCATATAACCTGCAAAATCGTTGTAGATATCTGCATTTTATTATCATGATCGTGATCTAGTTTTCAAATATTTCCCTGATCTATGAAGAGATTCAGATTTTATATGAACATAAAACTTATCTCTTTTCCTTTTTAGATATTGTTTTTGAAACTGTTTTCTTTTCAAATATATTGGGAAAACTTTCTTTTTGGTCTTTTAATAAATTTCTTTTTGTTATGAAAAAAGTATGTTGGTGTCTGGGAGATTTTTTTTTAATGTATTTTTTCTGTTTTTTTTTATGATTAATTGACTTTGCTTTAGTGGAGATAATTGTTGTTAGCTTTGTTGATGCAAACTCTTTGGTTTCTTTTTTTTTTTTTTGGGGAGAAAGTTTGTTAATATGTTATTTTTAAGGTAAAGTCTAACTGGAAAGAAGATTGCCTCTCTCTTTCTTAGATACTTTTTACCTTTTCAATGCTTTCTATCTAAACTTTTAAATTATTCTAAATAAAGTTATTCTTAAAGACTCGTTGCCACCTGCAATATATTTTCATTCTGCAGTTCATGTTCATTGATGCTGTGTATATTCATTACTTCAATCTGTCTTCATCAATGCAACTGATTTTGTTCCTTTTAAATCTTAATTTTTCATGTTCTTTTTATAGATAACCTTTTAAAGCCCGCCGATTCCAGAAATCTCTATTTGTAATTCTTCTCTTTTCTTCCTTTCTTTCTTTGTTTAATGTTAAATTTGTGCTGTTGTATATTGACACAGAGATACTGAAAAAGAAGAAAGAGCTTCATGTGGCAGAGATGAATCATCACAGGAGAGGCCATAGCCTTACTGGGATATCTGGGATCCCAAAAGAGAAAGATGAAAACCTCCAATTGTTCCATTCAAATCACAGGAGCATGTTCATACCTTCTTCTGATGAGTCTGAGTCTCCAATCAGTACTTATCTGATCTCCAGCCTTTTGTATTTTTTAAATATGTCATTGTTATTGTTTTGGTTGTTGTTATTGTTCTTGTTACTGGCTGTGGACTTCCTTTCTTCTGAAACCTTGGTTTTTTATTTCTTTTGGTGCAGATTCCGCAAGATTGGGGAGAATTGCTGTTGCTTCAGCAAAGCCAAGAACTGGCATGGATGACTTGTTGAATACTGAATATGGCAAGCATGACTATGATTGGTATTTCTGTTTCACTATTATTTACACCTATTTTATTGTTGAACCTGCAGCTGTGCCTACATTCCTTTTTCTGTTTTTTATTTATTTCTCCAATCTATTTGTATGATTTATAAGTTTTATAATATACATGATTTCACGATGTTCACCATCTGTTGAATCTTCTTAGTTATATTTAAATTAGTATAGCCAACGTTTGAATTAAATTTCTTAGTAAAGTTTTAGTTATATTTAAATTAGTATAGCCAATGTTTGAATTAAATTTTGTTTCTTAGTAAAGTTCTGGTTAATTTTGTCAGTTTAGTTATACTTTCTGGGTCAATTACTGGTTCAGTTATTAAAAAAATGGTGGGGCTGTGCTAAAGTAACTTTCCTTCTTCTAGATGACTCTTGAAGTTCTTTATCTAGTTTTCATATTGTATTTAATTGCTTCATTCTGTTGAATGATACCTTCATAGTTGATTTAAAACTAGTTCTGTTCTATGGTATAGGTATTTCGTTACATGGTTGTAAATTTGTAATTGAACTGGGAACTCTTTTCATAATGTCATTGATTTTGTAATATGTGAACTCATTCCTTCTGGTTTTTTGGTGATTGAGTGTTTTAGTACTTGCACCAGTAAAAAATTCTTTTACTTTTTTCTTGTAAGATTTGTACCTGATATATTTCTTTGCCACTAAGTTACTCCACATTGTGCTCATTTCCATCTATATACTTAAGACATTCTTTTCTACTAAGGCATCATGCTGTTATCTTACTTCCTTTTCTCATAGAATTGTAGACCTCCTCCCACTTAACTGCATGCTAATTTCTCCAGCCTTCCCTTCTTACCCACTTCATAGAAGATATCTTCGTAGTCTCTGCCTCTAGTACAAGAAAATTTATACCTTCCTCATTGCTTTCATTATCCTCTGCCACTGGCTCTCATAAAGGTTTATCTGGCTTATCAAAAACTAATGTCACACATAGATAGTAATAAGGGATGAGGGAATTTAGCTTATAACTGATAAGTGCAGCATATTTAGTATAACTGCTGCCTCCAAGTTCAACCTGGACATCTTGGAAGTTCTTTAGTTTACCCACTTTAGAGACTACGATATTAATACAAGAAATTCTTTGGTGATTTGCTTTTTGGGGATCCCTCCAGTCAAAAGCAAGGAATCGTTAGGGGTGGCAACGGGTCGGTTTGGGTCCAAGCTGGACCCGGACCCGGATCCAACCCCACCCGATTGGACCCGACCCAAAAATAAATAAATAAAATAAATAAATAAATAAATAAATATATATATATATATATATATATATATATATATAAATATTATGTTATATTTATACATGTACTATTTAAATTTTATAACTAAAAATATATAGTTATATTTATTTAAATGTTTTAAATATATTATATATTAACTATTATTTAAATATTAACACTATTCGGGTTGGGTCTACATGGACCCAGACCCGAATAGTGTTAGGGTTAGGGTCCAAGATTTGGACCCGGACCCAAAACGATCTTGGACCGGGACCTGACCTGCCGGGTCCAATTTTTGGACCCATACCCGGACCGGGTCGAGTCTATATCCATTGCCACCCCTATGAATTGTATATGTACTACAAATTTGTTTTCCTCCCTTTCTACTTCAAAGCCTCTTTTTTAAATAAATAAATAAATTAACTGTTGTATTGAGTAAAAAAGTATATAAAAAATCGGCCACCCACAAGTTAGGTGCTCGATGCCAAAAGCCCTTGCGGGTACAAAAAATCTATACAATCGTTATGCACAGAGCAAAAGGCCTTACATGATTACTATCTGGAAGTCTCTTACATTTCAGCTGGTTTGGTGAATAACCTTCTACTGAGTTCATGAAGGCTAAGAGCTATGGGAAAGAGAATGCCCTTGTTGTGATCTACTCAAGCTTCTAAACTACCCCTTGTCATTCTATTGTTGTTGAACGTATTCCAAAATCCAGGATCTTAGCTAAAACCCTGTCAATGTGCGGAAGGACGCACTCAGCTTAGTCATAAGTTTTGTCCCTATCAAATGCAAACGATCATCCCTACTTGCTACTGATAGATGGATCCAGGGCTTTGAAGCCAATCCTAACTGCATTAGTAAATGTCTTTTTCTAAATGAGAGCACCTTGGATCCAAGATACCAAATTCAGGGCACTATCTTCAATCATGTTATTGAGCATTGCTTTCTACATGCATCCTATCAGACCTTAGTTCTGAAATTGTAGCATCAGTAACTTCATCCACTAAATAAACTGGACTAAAATAGGTCACGTCAACGTGTTGTTTGAGATAATTTCAAAAACTGATGATTTTTGTCACTCATAGTTTCTAATATGGTTGGTCAAAAGAGCACCAATAACAAATGACACAAATCACTAGATCATTTGAACCACCACTTGACCATGAGAATTATATTGCTTGAAGGGTATTTATCAAATAAACAAATAAATAAGTAAATTGATCACTTGAACTGCCACTTGACCATCCTTGTGTGCTGTACAAGGGTCATTTGCATTCCAAAAGAAACTGCTGCACTGAAAAGTCAGTCCATAAGGGGCAATCCTCAAGGTTAACTCTCGAATAAGCCTTAAAAGCTTCTTGTTCCTCAATCAAACAGTAATCTCTATATGGTATAATCATACCAAAAGAAGTGTATCCGCTCTTGTGAGGACTTCTTGTAAGGTCATCCCTATATTATGGTTGTGATGCTTCTCATACTATAAACAAAAATACAGTGAAACTAAAATGTATTACCAATTGAAGGGGAAAAGAAAAATTATACTTCCAAATGCTGTTCTGGCCTTAAATTTTGATTACCTTTTAACAGGCTTCTCACCCCACCGGGAACTCCTCTCTTTTCAACAACGGATTCCTGTGAGTTTCAACGAGTTGCTGTTGCTCCCAAAGGAGTTTCTTCTGTTAGATCAGCCTCTGCTACGAAAGCTTCAAGGGTGACTTTTCTTCTCTATCGTCTATTCTCTCAATAACTTTTGTGAATTATCAATTTGGAACTTGATGTTTATCATTTATACATCTTATTGACTGCAAAAAGGAAAGCTATATGTGAAAATGAACATTTAGAAATGACCACTTGTGTTTATGGCCAAAATTTTCACTCTGAATTAGTTCAGTAGAAATTCTTCTCTTTCAATTGAATGGATGTTGCTTTTTTACAGTAGCATGCTCTTTCTCTTTTCCTTGCTTTTTATTTTCTACAATTTCCCTAAGTCCATTCATTAATATCTACCATTTTTTATTTACCAGCTGTCTGTGACTCAAACTGAGAGCACAAATCCAAGGCGAGCAGTTCGAAGCAGTTCAGTATCCCGCCCTTCTCTCTCCTCCCCAAACCATTCATTCTCAAATTCAAACTCAAAAAACTTCCTCAACACCAGCACCCAATCCATAACCTCTCGTCCATCCACTCCAGTCCCCCGAAACCCCACCCCTTCACGTGCTGCCACCCCAACAAGAACCCGACCCTCACCCACTCCCTCAAAGCCCACAACTCCTCGTCCCTCCACCCCAACTTCACGGGCCACAATTCCAGCCTCAAAATCCTCTTTGCCGGCTACAAAATCTAATTCTCCAGCTGCAAAATCATCTTTTCCGGCAATCAAATCCCATTTTCCAGCTACAACTCCAGCTGCAAAACCCTCTTTTCCTGCAACATCAAGGCCATCTCAACCATCACCTCCAGCTCCTTTACGATCCCGGCCGACCACCCCGACCCGCCGAATTCTGGCCACAGTGACCCCACCTCCAGCAGGACCCCCGCGCGCAGCCTCTGTTGGGCGAACACGGGGTGTCTCCCCACAGCGACATGTGGCGCCAATTGTGCCACCAGATTTCCCCATGGATGCTCCCCCGAACCTGCGGACGACCTTGCCTGAGAGGCCAGCCTCTGCAGGCCGGATGAGACCTGGCGTGGCCCTGACTGCTCGTTTAGGAGGTAATGGCCCTTCTGAAGAAAGGCAACCAAGTCGGGTTCGACCGAGCAGTAATGGCAATGGCAGTGGAAGCGAGGTGGTTGGGATTCAAAAGAGTCAGGGTGGTGTAGCGAGGCCACCAGGTGGTGGTGCTTCACCAGTACGGAGGCCGGTGAAGCCGGCAGGCTCAACGGGGGAGAGCACAGGATTTGGAAGGAACATATCAAAGAAATCGCTCGATATGGCTCTCAGGCATATGGTATGTGTGCTTGTGCTTAGTTGACTGTTACCTGAAAAAGCATGCATGGGATCATGTTAGTTGGATAGTACTACTCTATGCATTCAATGAATGCTTTATTTGAGAAGGGAAAATCGTGGTATGATTCATACGGTCATGGTTACAACATGGACACAATGTGATCACTGTCCCATTGATGGATCAGACGGTGGAGAGAGTGCATCCCACTGAAAAATTGATGTATATCTAACTCTCCCCATCACTGTCCAGCCCATTTATGGGATGGAGATTGCTGCTGTGGTGGTGTTTTACCATTACAGTACAGATGATCCTACACCTGTGACCAAAAATAGGATTTCTAAAGCATATGCTTCTTGTGAATGGTATACCATACAGGCCGGGCATCCACAGTCCTTTCTGAGATGGGCAGTGGAGATGAACTGTGGTTCAGGGTGAATGTACATAACCAAAACTATGTCCACCGTTCGCCTTTGAGAAGTGATGGTTTGGATGTCCTATTTGTGTATGATATGCTGTATCCAAGATTTGTATGGTTGGATAAGATTGGAATCTGCATACATACATACATATCTAGGGATCCCATGCATTGAGTTTTACTTGCTTGTGCATGTATGCACCTCTTACATGTATACATATGCACATATGCATGGAGCTACGCATGTTTGTGCATATACGCATAGACCATTACATACCTGTGCCTTGCATGTGAAATATCTCATCACTATCATCATCATCATGGAGCCTTTTCCCAACTATTTGTATGTGAAACATCTATATGCCGTAAAATACGAAACCATGGGGTTCAATGCACAGACCATCTTTTCATGAGCTTGCACAGTTGATTTGTTCTCGTCATTCTTGGCAGAATATTGTCAAAAACGTTGCAAACATGTTTGCTTGGCCTCAAATTCACATCGTCAGTTATTTGTCCGTAAAATTGCATGGGTGGATTAAGTGCTTCTAATCTAGTCATAGACATTACATGTGCTCTCAATCTGAAGCTTGTTTGTTGGGGAACTTTGGAAGTTTTCACTTGGTGAAGTGTGAGACAAGTGTGCTTGTCAATTAGATTATCGGAAAAAAGATGTGTACTTGTCAAAAGTATCCTAATAGTCTTAAGGGCTGTGGAAGAACATTTGTTCATTACCATCCATTGAACCGATGGAGAGCGCCCAAATTGAACTACAATCGAGGCTAGTGGTGTAGGGGGGTGCAAACGGATCAGCTCCGAATTGGGTCGAAATCCAACCAACTGAAAGTCCAGGGTGGACCTGGACCCAACCCTCCTGACCACTTCCTAGGTCCAGACTCGGACTGGGGTTAGGGGTCACCAGTCCTGATTTGCACCCATATAGGTTTTATATTTTTTATTGCTTATCTGCATTACTTTCCAATATAAAACAAAGCATGGGCACTTGTGTGCTTTTGGAAAAAAGTTGACTGCCCATTTGGCTGATTTCGGCAGTCTGATTGTGTGGTTCCTCTTCGATAGTACTTATGGTTGTGCATTGTATGTTAATTCTCAAATTTTTGCTTTTCTTGTGATATAATAACTCTAACCATGAATTTTTCGGCAACAATATTGTCTAAAATGTTTGGTGAAAGATTCTCTCTCTCTCTCTCTCTCTCACACGCACAAGATGTTCATACATATCTGTTTCGTTAAAATTGAACTAGTTTTTATTTTACTTGGACTATATACAGGACATTAGGCAAGCCACAGGTGGCCTGCGTCCACTCTCTGCCACATCTCTCTTCCCTCAAAGCGTTCGATCTGTGTCATCCAAGGCACGATTGGGTGGATTAGATCCTCGGGCTTCAAAAACCAGCAATGGAACTCTAGGGCATGCTGAAAAATCATCTGAAAGCTCCCCGGAAGCTAAAGCAATGGAAGGTCCAACAATAGATGCTAAACTAAATGGGAGATTAATGGACCCCGATTTCTCCGCTAGCACAAGATATGATGCCATTCTCCTAAAAGAAGATACAAAGAACACAGAGTGGTTGCATAGCCCAAACGGGGATAATGATCCGGGCCTGGTTTTTGATCATCGGTTTGAGCCTCTTCCTGAGCCCTTTGGGTTGCCCTAAATTTGGCCGAGTTCGTAATTTTTTTTTCATTTTTATTGTTTATTATTATTCTTTTCTTTGTAATTTTATCCTTTTGGATTTTTTTTTTTTAAATTATGGGTAGATTATTGTTTGAAATATATGAGATATATGAGGAAGCCATGGTTTGTTCATCCTGGATGTCAAGAACCTTTCTTTCACATGGCGAATAGCTCTCTCTTCCCCCATTAAATTTTTGTTTGGTTTTGTCTTTTTGTTGGAAGACGAGTTAAATTCGAGTACTTTTACCTTTGTACCTCAGTTTTTAGAACAAATCAAGGATTTGAGCGAATAGAATCAACCCACCATTTGTGTGATCTTGTAACAGTACGGGGATAGTATTATTTGAGATGGTTTTCTTGTGTCTCTGTATGGCTATGTAAAATTTCTGGTTTTTAGTATGTGTCGACATGAAACATAATTGAATCCACCCCCACCAATTGAGATCATGTAGCAATACTGGGACGCTCTTATGAGATGTTTTTCTTGCATTTCTAAATGGCCATACAATATCAACATGGCGTTTATTGATTTTTGCATATGTTGATACGCCAAAGGTACCACACTTGTGTCCATTTTAAAATTTTAGACACTTCTTGATATTTCTTCATGAAATATTACATAAAAATATTCAATTTCATTTAAATTTTTACCTTCTACTTTTATTTAGAGGGATTATACGCTATAATACCGTTTATTTTTTGTACGCGGTAACAATGACTTTTACCTATTGAATGTGGAATTCAATAAATGAAAGTGTATTACAACATTCAAGAATTTTTGTTTTGGATTTTGTGTTCAAAAAATGATACATTTTCAACCACACGATTTCAAATCTAACGATCAATGATGATTGTGACTTTCTTGTATCAAAAGTAATAAAAAATAAATGGTATCATTGTATACATTTTCTTATTTAAATAGTGCACGGATTTAGTGCATCCGAAACGCAAATTTTGTAATTGACGTTGACACTAACATAAGCATCCACGTGTATGTAAAATCCTCAAGAAAACATTGTGATTTTAGAAAGTGCTACCGGGTCCATTATGAGGGAGTGCTATCGGGTCCATTAAGAGGGAGTAGAAGTAAACCATGCTCCCAACGGAGCATAGTATATGTGGTCAAACGTTATATAAGGTTGCGAACTTGTACTATACAAGATGCACCTAAAAATTCAGTGGAAAAGAGTATTCCGAAGTTCAAAGGGAAAAGTTTATATAGGGTTGCAACCTTAAACTATACTATCAATGATGCACTTCGAAAATCTATCAAAAATATTGTTTTAATGTTGAAAAAATACTATAATCGATCATTTCGACATCGAGATGTATGAATATGAAAAAAAGAGTTTTTGAGTCCCATAAATATGCGTCTTGCAACACATTATCTAGGCCATTAATTTTCAAGATTTTCATATATTTATAGATCTAACTAATTTTAATTATTTTTGAAATTTAAAATTTTCTAATTAGATATAAAAATATATTTTAAGATAATACTAAAATTTTTTTACAACAAAATTACTTGTTATGATAAAATTTTAAGGTGCACCTTAATTGGATTGTTTAAGGTTGCAACCTTATAGAAACAGCACCCAAGTTCAAAAGCCTACTGATTAATCATCTCAACCTCCAGATCTACTAAATATCTCCATATATATATATATATATATATATATATATATATATATATATATATGTGGTTTGTATAGAGCCTAGGCTCTAAACAATCAAATTAGTGCCTACCTTCAAATAGTGTCGAGCAATGTGGTTTCAATATTAGAAATTTTGTGATAGCCTTAAAATATATTTTTATAGTTGTTTATAAAGTTTAAAGCTTCAAAAATAATGTAGATTGACATATCTATGAACTTGAAAATATTGAAAATTGACGGTGTAAAAATGCATTACAAAGTATATTATTCCCAAAACTTGAAATCCATTTTTTTCTCATATCCATGCATCTTGATGTCGAGATGATCAATTTGAAGATATTTGGGCATCAAAACAACCTCTTCTAGTGAGATTTTTTTAAGTAGGCTCAATGTGGTAAACTTTTCTCATATATATATATATATATATATCCTAAAAATAGAATATCTCAAAATAATTTATCTGGATGATCTATTTCAAATATTTTCAACTCTTTATAAATCTCTTGATTTGCATTAGTTTTTGAATTTTAAAATTAAAACACTACTTAAAGCTTTAAGTACCCGTGGATTGGGTTGTACACGAGGGACTTAATGGATGATATGCTACCGCGGGAGCATAATATCTTTTGGCTAAACTCGAAAAATGCCATTATTATACAATCCCTAAAAATAAAATCTGTCGTCTCTTCTAAAATCTGAGTCACTGTTTATTGCAATGGCTCTCAATGTTCAAATTTACCCTCCAATTTCCTCTCATACTAAGACTTACCCCAATTTCACTGTAAAATCTTCGAATTTCTGTCATTTTCCAATATTTTCAGGCCTTTTTTCCAGGAATTCCCTAAATTTCACGAGAAATGCCTCTGATTTATTCCCTTTTCCAAGATCTTCAAGCCCAAACCAGCAAAAATTATCGATATGTAGTGGAGTTTCTGCTGAATTTTCGTCGACTTTGGTCCCGGAAAGTGGCCATGATTCTTCGGAGTTTGGCAATAAAAAAGAAAGTGATTCCTCAGCGGTTCTTTTGGAAGTGAAGGATTTGACTGCTGTTGTTGCAGAGTCAGGGCAGAAGATATTAAATGGTGTTAACCTTACCATTAGAGAAGGAGAGGTATTCATGTTTAAATAAAATGATTCAGCTTTTTTTTCCCTTTTTTTTTTTTTGAGGTAATTCTTTTTAAGAATTTGTTTAGCATAATTTGCTTAAATTTTTGAATGATGGTTTGTTTTATCATTTATTTGCCATTTTTTATCTGGTTTATCTTAATTGTCTTTATTTTATGTTTCTTTTGGCATTTTAATTTGTATATAGAGTTGATCATTATTTAAATGCTTGCTAATATTTCAGCAATATGGGTAATGAAATGCAAATTTCTTAGGTCATTTGGAGTTATTGATGATAATAAATTTTTTATACTTAAAATTTTCCAATTAATGGTATATCTATAGCTTCAACTTTTTTTTTTTTTTTTTTTGAGGTAAGCTTCAACTCTTTTGATTACGCTGGTGTAAGATAACAATACTACAAAACTTCTGAATCATCGTCCTTTAGTACTTGTAGAATAACTCAAATATGGAATTCGTGCTTGGGCTTGATTGCTTATGGAGTTAGCAATTGCAGCACTACATCCGAAATTCGAATCCTACGACTGAAATACATATCAAATAATAAAAAACTGAAAGTTTGAATCCTAATACTGAAATACATGCCAAATAATAAAAACCATAAATGTTTAAGCAAAACTCAGATTATGAATGTGAATTCATGCAACATCAAGAAAAACCTTAACCTGAAAGAAACAAGTACGGGGAGACTCTGATTTGGAAATCCTGAATTAACAAACTATCCAAAATGTTGAACCGTCTTCTTGTTTTGGTAGAAGCAATAATATCAAGAGAGCCTTAACATGTAAGAAACAAGTATCAGAAGAATCTGAACTGGAAATCCTAAGCTAACAAACAACCCGAAATGTTGAACTATGTTATGTTTTGGTTGAATCGATAAAATCTTTCTTATAGTTTAACAAACCAATATGCTGTTTGGCTAGTCATTAACCTTTTCTCAAAAAAAAAAAAGGAAACAAAAGAGCTGTTTGGCTAGTATAGATTGGTATATCTACTCTTGTACTCATGTACTTGCGTATGTAGTTTGATTTGGTTGATAAGGTAGTACGACTTCCATTTTGATTAATTTTCTTGTTACATTCATCGTCTTCCAATTGTAGATAATGCTTACTGTTATTTTTGCTTCTTTTGTAGATACATGCTATCATGGGCAAAAATGGTTCTGGGAAGAGCACTTTTTCCAAGGCAAGTCCTATCCTTGCACGAAAATCTGGTTTCTGAATTTTCATTCTTAGTTAGTTAATATTAAAGTAGAGAAATTTTGATATGGGATGGGTTTTTTGTTAATGATGTGGAAATTACATGATACATGAAAAAGCACCCATAATTCTTTAAGATGAGGAAAAAAATTTGAACAATCTCTTAACTGTTAGATAACACTTAGGATTCATTTTAGTTGCGCCCTGCATCATTTGTCCTGCTTATGAAATTTGACATGAATTGAATGTTATATGATAAAGGCATAAAGCCCTGAAGATTGAGCTAGCGTTTTTTTTTTAATTAAGATAAAGTAACGATGAACACTTTTATTAAGAAAGGGGTAAACTACAAGTCTTGGATGGCAAGGGAGGTCTATCTGTAAACTTGTGCCCTAAACTAAGAGGGAGTAAACTGACTTTTTGATGATTCTTCATTTTCTTTTCTTATGAAATTGAGCTAGCTTTTTTTTTAATTAAGATAAAGTAACGACCGACACTTCTATTAAGAAAGGGGTAAACTACAAGTCTTGGATTTCAAGGGAGATCTATATATAAACTTGTGCCCTAAACTAAGAGTGAGTAAACTGTCTTTTTGATGATTCTTCATTTTCTTTTCTTATGAAATTGCTACAACACTGCTGCTTAGATCTGATAGGCTGATTTATAACGCAAGTTTAGACCTGGTAGGATAATTTATAACGCATGTCTAAGCCTGGTGAGATGATTTATAAGGCGTGTTTTGCTTTATAAAAATTCAATGAAAGAGTTGTCTAACTTCAGGTAAGGGGCTGGATGCATTGTTTATTTCTTTTACGTGTTCTCTAGAACTTTCGAAATTTTTGGCTTGCAAAGGTTTTTTGGGCATTTCAGTGTTCTGACTAAATTATTTATGGAGCTATAGCTCAATTTGGGCAGGTATTTTTGCAAAATTATGTACCAAAGCTTTTCATATTGCTTCCTTATTAATGTTGACTATGTTTTTGCACTGCTACGTAGTGAAGTACGTGAGCATACAGTTTATGTTTGATGTAGGTGTTTTGGCAACTAGATTTGCTTGAACACTATTGACTATTGAGTATTAGGGATTCATCATATTGTCATTTGGTTGTGTATTCTTAGTATATTTATTATTATCTAATGTTCAATTTGTGTTTGGAATTACTATGTCATCCTTATGTTCATACTATTGGGTTGTTTAATTTCTTTTAAGGCAGGTTCTTGTTGGCCATCCAGATTATGAGGTTACAGGGGGCAGTGTTGTTTTTAAAGGCAAAAACTTGCTAGACATGGAGCCAGAGGAAAGGTCTCATGCGGGACTTTTCATGAGCTTTCAGTCTCCAGTTGAGATTCCAGGTGTAAGCAACATGGATTTCTTGCGTATGGCTTCTAATGCTCAAAGAGAAAAACTTGGTCTTAAGGATCGTGGTCCTCTTGAGGTGTTTAATTGTTTCACGCCTCTCCATTGTTCTTTATGTTCCTTCTTCTTTCTACTTTGTAGTGGCATATATGGTGTTTTGTTTGTTCATTGCACACGGTGTTAATGTAACTGTGCCTTATTCAAAGTTTATATAGTAAATTATTGTTATTAGTTGAATGCACATGTATTAAATGCATTAAGCATCAAAAGAAAGATTAAAATAAATTTAAATTAAAAATGTAAAAAAAAGCAAATTATAGATAGAGAATGATAATGAATAAAATTTATAAGATGCCAAGTTAATTCTTAAAAAAAAAAGTCTACTCCTGGAAATCTAGCTATCATTAGACAGTGCAGCTCAATATCTATGACAATATAATTGTTGGTTTCTGCCATGAACCCTTGGTAGCTGTCTACATTTCTCTTAGACAATAGGCAGAGTGATGTAAATCGAGGGCAAGAGCAATGCAAGACTAGTAACTCCTCAAAACAAAAGGATCCTTCTTTTTCTTTTCTTTTTTTTGTTTGATAAAGTTAACATTGTGATAAAGGTAGAATGTACAAGAACAAAAAGTAGCATGATTTGTTTGTTCCTGAACTTTCTATAACTTGCAAGAGGCAACACCTGCAAGTATTATCTTTGATTTAACTCTTTCCTTTCTATGACTACAGTTTTATGGTTTCCTTTCTCCGAAGCTGTCTGCCTTGAATATGGATCCAAAGTTTTTGGACCGAAATGTGAATGAAGGGTTTAGTGGTGGTGAAAAGAAGCGGAACGAAATTCTGCAACTTGCGGTATGGATTCAGGACTTTATGAAAAAATTCACGTGTGCTTCAATTTGTGCTTTTCTATGTACTACCTGTTTCGATCGAATGTCATGTGTTTTAGTTACGACTTACGACATGGACAGTACTAAACCAAAGAGTAATTTATATGTATGAGTCATGATCTTCTATTTTTGAGGTTTATGCATATTTCGATGTGTGGGTCCTTATGCTAATTCGGCTGACTAAAGACTCCTGAAATGCATGTCTTGCCTGCTTCATTTCCCTGTCAAAACATATCTGCTTGAAGTGTGAATGGTTAACTTTTCTCCACCTTTGCTATTACCTTCTCTATGGCTAGAAAAAGGATGTGACTATGACAACCGGTTTAGATCAAAAGCTGATTAGTACACCTAGTTTAGCACCATTATATACATTTGAAGCAGTTTTGTCCTCTTTTGTTAGTTTATAGCCGGAACTCTATGAAGAGACTTGTGTAGATTTCAAGACTTCATAACCTTGCACTTATGTTGGAATAAAGAAGCATGCCATTACTAATATGTTTTTTCCATTCTATGCAGGTTCTTGAGGCGGATTTGGCCATCTTAGATGAAATAGATTCTGGATTAGATGTAGATGCTTTACAAGATGTAGCAAAAGCTGTCAATGGGCTTTTAACCTCGAAAAATTCAGTTCTGATGATCACTCATTATCAACGGCTTCTGGATTATATAAGGCCTGGGTTTGTTCATATAATGGTAAGGAACTTTATTTGTTTGACATGGTTCAAGCTAGTGTAATGAGATCAAAACTGAACTGCCTGGTCTTGTGTTGTCCCATTTTAACGAGATACTAAATACAACCCAGAGCTCAGCCCAAACCATCAGTTCGGAGTTTTGTTTTTTTGCCTGCCTTGACCACTTCATGGTATGGATCTCCATAATTTTTAACCAAAATCCCTTTTTTTTATGAACAAAATCTATTTTTTTATGACCAAAATCTATTTTTTTTAACCAAATATATGGCCAAAGGTACGGCATTCTTTGAATTCTTCAAGGTTTGGGTTGAAGTAGGTCTAGCTTCGTCAGACAGCTAGTGCAGTCAGTTCAATGATCTTTTTTCCTTTACAAATTGTTCTTTGTACATTCAAGATTCACTATCATACAGGGGTTTATTATAGTTGCAGATGTAGAAAAATGAACCGCTATCCGATGTGTTCTAACTTTTACTTAAAATTGTTTAAGCAAATAACTTAAATTTAAAAAGTTAAGGGCCCAACCATATTAAGGATCATTGGTTTGTAGTTTTGGGCCAAAGTTCATCACATAAGAGACTTTAGAGCTGTACATACTTTTACCTTAATCTTTGTTTTCATCATCTAGTAACAAGGATAATTATGATAATGAACTTTCATAAGGTTGCCAAGGACTTATTGTATTGCTATTATTTTTACTGTTATTATTATTATTGTTGTTATTGTTATTGTTATTGTTATTGTTATTGTTATTGTTATTGTTATTGTTATTGTTATGATTGTTATGATTGTTATGATTATTATTATTATTATTATTATTATTATTATTATTATTATTATTATTATTATTATTATTATTATTATTATTATCAGTATTATTGTTATTATTGGATATAGAATTGTGGATATTACATGATACACTAGACATCAATTATTGTTTTGTTTTACCTGGCTGAGGGTTAGAATTTTTTATTTGGGCTGAGTTAACTGATGAGCTATTAAGTACTTAACCACTCTGTGGCCTTAGTTCTAAAACCTTGGTTTCCATTGTTGTAAGCAACATTTTGGATGTTCGTTTGAAATCTGTGTGGTTGGAGGGCCAATGGCTATGCTGATTTGGATTTTGATTTGGTTTTAATAAGATGAACTGATGTTATTTGTTTTAAATCTAGAGTTTTGGCTCGTGTGCAGGAGGATGGAAATGTTGTTAAGACTGGTGATGTCTCTCTCGCTAAGCAACTTGAAAAGGAGGGTTACAAAGCCATCACTTCTGCATAAAAATCAGTATATGTGCTTACTTTAGTAATTTTCTGTTTCTCCTGCTTGTTGTATTATAAGTTTTTGTTGAATTTCACATTCTTACTACAAGTTAGGGGTTAACCCATTAAAATTTAGATATACAAGCTAGGAAAATAAGTTCAAAACAAAAACACCTCATGGACCCTAACAAAGGGAAGTGGGGCCTTGACTTCTGAAATTGTTGCATTTCTAGGCTGTGTCCAAAGTTTCAAACTTCTCAAACTATTAAGTCCAATCTGTAGCCATTGCATTTATGCTTAATAGAGAACATCTAAGGCAGCATTTGACGTCCTGGTGGCCATATCCAAGCTTTATATTTAGTCGCCTTTATAGGCAATCGTAAAAATAGGCACTCTTCAATGGTCATAGTCAATTCAAATTTATGGCTGGATTCTTGAACTATATTTCTTCCCCAACATCAAGAAAAGCCACATATAATCTCTCTCTATGTCCTAATAGTTTTCAATAAAGTCGAGATTACTTTAAAAAAGATAGTTTGACATTAATTTTTCTCTCTTTTTGTTTTGGTTTTTTTTTGGGGGTAATTCAGCAGCGATGGGGATTGAGGCCCCTACCTTTTAGTGAGAATGGAGTTCGAGGTTTAATTTTATCTCTTTAGCAAGGATGAATCAATTTACTTTTTTTTTTTTTTTTATTGTTTTCTTAATTCTCACTGTTGTCTGTACGCATTCACAATTCATGTACACTTTTCCAATCAGGTGTGACATTCGTGTTTCATGCGATCAGAATCTCTGCAAGAGAACCCACTTTTATGTTTGCCATGATTTGGAGAGGCCCCTTGCACTCTATCTGTGTAAAAGAGGGATCAAATCTCAGAATTTTGATTCTATTGGTATCTATCTGATTATCGAGAATGGGTATGGAATTAGGTCAATTATTTCATCATTGGAATTGCGTATATGAAAGCTGTCGGATTCTATTTCACATGCACAACACAAAATAGCTTCAATGAACAAAATGTTGTGTGTAAGTAAACTATTTACATTTTACCTATTTCAACTATTCCAACGTTTTTGATGAGTTTTTTGAAATTAAATAAAAAATCAAAAAAAATATTTGTAAAATGTTAAATAGTTTATCTTTTGGTTTCATTTTGATAAATTTTTGCACCAAGACACGCACACACTTTATATGAGGCATCAACCTTACACTCCAAAAGTAAGTTGTACTATAAAAATACCGCAGTAAATGTTGTTCGGAGGCTGGAAAACCCTAGATATGATTTTGGGAAAAGGGTTTGGAGTTCTAGTGGTGTATTTTGTAAAGCATTATCCAGACTACCCGTTTTTTAAGATTTTGGAGTATTTATAGATTTTTAAGATTTTGGAGTATTTATAGATCTGTTTGATGCAATGGTTTAAAAAACGGATCGGTGACTTGGATCGGGCTTTTAAAAAATCGATTCGGATCGGCGATCGGGATCGAGAATCGGGTGAATCGGTCAGAATAAAGCTTAAATAAAATCCGAAAAAATTATTAAAATTCATTATAAATCTTGTTTTTTAAGAATTCAATAAGAAATGAAGGTACTCCATTAAGAATTTTCATGTTTTTGAATGAATATGCGAATATTGATATGTTCTTTCCCTGCATGAACCGCCATTCAGCATTTAATTTACATCACACAAAAGGATAAGCATATAATTATCATGGAATAAGTATATCAATATACATGGACTACAATAAAGCATAAAATTAATAACATATGATCTAAAAATAAAATGGTAGACGACGTTATTGTTCTTCTTGATCACGTTGATACCATTGATTGAATTCGTTTAACAATTCATTGATTCGATCTAAAAACGAATCATCGATATTAGCAGGCGTCTGACTATTTCCAAATACTTGAGTGTTAGTGTTTTGTTATGTTCTCAATCTAAAATCCTCGAAGATTGTCCATTTTTCATGCTCACCTGCACTGTCGTGCTCATTCCTACACTGTTGCTATTGGGACTCGATATGTGAATAATATGGTTGGGATAGGGTGGCCTCAGAATCATCATCTCTCTCATTTTCTCCTTGAATAATATGGATTAAAAAAAAAATAACAAATTTTCAAAAAATTCGATCATGGATTAAAAAAAAAAAATCACAAATTTTCAAAAAATTCTATCATGAATTGCAAAAAAAAATTCGATTATGGATTAAAAAAAAAAAATCACAAATTTTCAAAAAATTCAATCATGGATTACAAAAAATTCGATCATGGATTACATAAAATTCGATCATGGATTACATAAAAATCGATCATGGATTACAAAAAGAAACAAACAAAAAAAACAAAAAATTCAATCATGGATTACAAAAAAGAAAAAACAATTCGATCATGGATTACAAAAAATTCAATCATGAATTACAAAAAACTCTATCATGGGTTACAAAAAAAGCAAAAAGCAGAAAATTCAATCATGGATTAC